TCGCCGTGCGACGCGACGTGCACTCGAAATGATTTATACGCGTTCCGTCTTTGTACGTGACGCGTCGTTTACCACCCGCTCTCTGGCGAAGATTAATTAACCCCATGGCGTTTCGGGGAGAAACGTGTTCCGCCTTGAGCGCTTTTCGCGGGGCTGGCGCGGAGGATCGGGGCCGTCGGCTTCGGTTTCTTAATCCAATTTCGTGGTGCATTAATCTAATTATGCCTAGGTATATGCACGTGACGTGCAATTATGCCGGCCGGTCGCACCGCTGGACCGCTTTCGTAATGTTACCGCGCGGCGTCCGGACGTCGGTCGGAGGAGCTGTCGGGTCGGCAAGAAACTCGTCCGCGCAGAGTGCCCCAGAACTGTCGGAGAGATGATGCCTTAAAGATAGAATCTTCTCTCGCAATTTGAAGTTAATTTAGGTCTTAGGGGAAAAAAATCCGTGGTATGAGTACAGAGAAATAAGGGCTTCCTCATGAATTCATTCGCAGAAACGGAAATGAACATAGGCCGAGAAATTTGTTTTCCTTTTTCGATGAATAGAACGTTTAATGAAACAATTTACTCTAACTAAATTTTAATGCCTATTTATAATATACTAGAACGCTATGTTGTTTGAAAGAGTTAAACCATAAGGATTTTTGTTTTTGGATGTATTATTTATCATCTTTATTTGAAAACCATAAGAATTTCGATGTAGATCGTGAAAAAGATATCCAACAATACAAATAAATATATAAATTAAATATAATATATTTATATACTATGGGAATGAATGCCTCAGTAGGAATTCGAGTTTTCTCTGAAAAGGTATAAAAGTATTATATCGTTTGTAAGTATCTATTGAAAAGCACTATCGCGCCTATCACCGATCATGGATGAGAGCATTGATTCGCCAGCAAAACTTTCGCTTCGACCCAATAGTGGATACTAAGTTTCACATTAATTACATCATCGTTTGGCCGATCTCATAATAAGAACCGCTTGCACTCAGATGTGCACCGCGGAAGTTCACGCGCACGTTCACGCCAAGAAAGTATTTGAAGAGAAAGAAAGAGAAGCGAGGGGTGAACGAAGTAGTATGTCGAATAACTTCCTAGAGGCGCGCCTGTCACGAAGCCCCGGGTCATTGGTCACCTCGTTCTTATCTCGCACTGTCTGCGGCCCATCTTGAAGGAGCTTATGCGCAGCGCCGTTGCACGGTTTACCGTAAACAAAATTAATCCATCTACCGCTTTTGTGATTATAGAAGCCGGTTTGCACGAGAAAAAATAGTAAATTTATCCTTAGAAAAAAATATTGGTCAATCTTATCTTCTCATTATTAGTTATTAAACGGGATTTAAACATAGTGACTGCGACATTATGTTCGCAATTATTTTACAAGAAACGCGGTATCTATAGATTATAGTTATAATTATAATGAGAAATTTTAAACTTGAAATTCTTTTGTTAATTGCATCACTACGATTGGTTCTCATAAAGATCACATACATGATTTTCTTTATGAATTAAGGAAGTTCTCGCGTTAAATATAAGACAAGTCTATAATATACATATAATATAAATGTCAATAATATCTAGAAAAAATTTCATTGACTTTTACCGTACCATTTTGAAAATATCTAATTCTAAATTTATAGAATTTTACATTACAAGCTGGAGGTATAACCTTGTTCTGTAGCTATTCTTTTTAAATTGACTTGCGTATAATACAGCAATTTAAAAATCGTTATAAAGTAAATACTTAAGTTCTCGTAAAATTTAAACTGTACAGCAATTTATAAGAATTTACAAGAAATTTAAATTCTTCAATGAAAAAAGCTAGAATATATGTCAAATGGATGATGCGTATACATTAAATGAGCATCTTACAACTTTTATTGTCATTTTAAAAATATTTATTTAATAACATATAAAATTAACAATAATTATGTATGATGGAATTATGTATGATGGAAGAAGATATTGTTAATAATTTTTTATTCCATTATTTTAATTGTTTTACGTATTATTGTGAATAAACTGTCTATTGATTAGGAAGTAGCGCGAGAACCTTCTTAAATGTTGTACAAAATCCATTAATTCGCAAAATTTAAAAATAATATTGGTTTTTTCATTTAAAAAATCTAGTATTTTTAATTTCATTTGTTCTATAATATTATGGGTTCATTCATTTTTGCATAACTTATTTTATGAAAAAGAGAAAATGTGAATAACAGATAGGATCTGTTATTCAGGATTCTGACTGCGGCGTGTTGGAATTTTCGCGTCGATGTAAAAGCGATTGGTTCGTGAAATCGTTTAATCCAGACCACCGAGTTGATGCTCGCCAGGTGTCGAGTCACGATCGTTATTTTCTTCCAACGAGATCTCTTCTTTGGAGAAATCCGAAACAATCGTCGACACGCCCATCCCACGTACATCTATGCATGCGCTTCGTTAGGTAATGGGCAACAATGTTTCGTCGGGCGCATATAGATATTGTCTTAATGTAACGTAATAACCGTAAGCTATCGCAGTTATGAATTACTTCAAGCGAGTCTCGTCAAACTTCAAAGTTAGCACAATTATTTCGAATCATGCAGCCATTTATCAGAACTAAAAGTATTTCAGTAAACTTTTATTAAGATTTTCTTACAATCTTTTGTTGTAACTTAATAGTGTTTTTTACCAAAGTATGACATTGTACACGGAAAAAAACGATTTTGTTAATAAGTTTTGTTAAAGTATTTGAAAGTTTGGCTAGATATAGATTTGAAAATACTATTAAAATACCTTTAAACTATTAAAATAATTATGTAGGACATTCAAGCTAATTGCTAGAATATGAAAAATTTTGCTCACAATGTTTAAATTTTCTACACAAATATTTTTATGGATTAAGAAAATTATTATCAGATCTCTATCTATATTAGTTCAATTTTTAGATATTTCAGCAAAATCGTTCTTTCCGTGTACAGTTCGATAAAAATCTATGTGTATGAAATTTCTCCATTTCCTACATTTTACATACTTTATTTGCTTCAATCTATATACTTCATCTGCTTCCTACATTTCACATCTGCTTCATCTTATAAATGCAATGTCCTATTATTTGGTCTGCTACACTGTAAATTATTACAACCATCATATGTAATAAAAATATATAATATATAATAAACATTATACATATATAATAAAAGGTGTATAAACCTCTTATATTTTACGGATCATTGTGGTAATAGAAATTCTCAGGACGATCTTTTTGTCACCGTCCACTGACATTTCCGTGTTGATCTAAGCAAGCGTGAAACCGCTTATTTGTGATACCGGAGATCGTAGTGCGACGATCAGAATCATGACCGTTATTTTCCTCGGACGAGATTCTCTTTGGAGAAACAATCATAGGCACACCCATCCAGCAAGCGCATCATGTCTATTTTGTTTAGTAGATAACTTACAACAAAGTTCCGGGCTATACGAACATCGCGTCGTGTTGCTCCATAAATATCTGGTATCCTGTTATTACTGCGAATTGCATTCTTACCCAATCCATTCTTTCCACTACTTGCAAAATGAGATCACGATTTTTTGTCTTAATCATAGTATATGTTTCACGAACTATTTTCTTCTGTTTGAATTGTGATTACATTATGACTGATTATGTCTTGCACAGAAGAAATATTATTTTTTATGCCTTTATCTTTACTGTTAAATTTATAATGTCAAATTATAAATACCTATAAATATGAGTCATTTTTAAACGTATTTTTTATACATCGCCACTGCTCTTACTTAATATATTATTAATTTAACTGAAATAGTGAAGTTAAACAATTCAACTCAAGAACATTATATTAAATTTGACTCAAATTTAATTTATTATTTACTAAATATATACGTTAATAGACGATATTTATTTTGAAATTAAGCAACCACAAAAATGGATTGATTTACATTTTAATACATACGAAAGTAAAAATAATAAAATATTACTTAATTAAAGGATTGGATTATCATTGCTTCTCTAATATCTGAAACAGTGTTGATAAATGCATTTTATTTTGCTTCTCATGAAGTTTTCTCATGATCGTTTCGCATCTCTTTTTCGCGAATGATGATTTTCAGGAAAGGCAACGACGATGCATAGGCACTGCCCGCGGTACTGATTACCTGCCATTCGTAGTTTCGAGTGGTGACTGCCCTTGCTACGGAAATTATGAAACCGGTCCATAATTGGAACTTGACTAATGACAAGACGGGTCATTGCGTATATTATAGCTATGGATCGGCATTAGCTCTCGCGCGGGCGCAGGATGCTTCACAGAACCGCAATAGTGCGCAACTGTGCTCCACGTGGGAAAGGATGCATTAAAAGTGCATCAAACGGGTGGGGAAATGGCGAGCGGTGCCGAAAGGCAGGCATTCGTCTGTCGAAATTAACATGGTAAAGGCGGGCACCTTTCATATTTTCGCAACAGAGATTAGTTAGTATACGAGCTCTACTAACAGAAGCTTCAGGATTAATTATCATTATCATCTATATTATTATGGATGAGCAAGTAGAGTATGGATAGAACTAAATTATATACATACTCTGCGTTTTATAATCTATATGTTAAGAGAATCTACGCGTAGATTTCTTTATGTGATATTCTATGTGAAATGCGTTTTTAATTTCAATATTTTAATCGAACGGAAGAAAATATCTTCGAAAGTTATCAGCAAATTAGAGATTAAATTGCAATATTTTCCAAGAACCGTACTCGCTTCGCATACGCATGCGTCTTCATTATCATACACACCCAAACAAGTACGTCACGCAAAGTATTTAAAGCGCGATCGTTCTCTTGCTTGCAGATGGAGCATAGAGGCGCGCCACGCGGGCAGCAAGAGCAGCAGTAGCGTTCAGGTATCGTTGGGGGCCTGATCGTTGGGGCCCTGTCTCTCGGGCCCGATCTCGCGCGGGGGGACGCGGGATCGCGGAGGCGTCGTGCCGGCCGAGCGACCGCGATGGCTGCGACCGACGGTCAGATCGTCGTCGCAGCGGCACGCTGGGCCGAGGAGGCGACGTACCTGCGTGAGTTCGTCTCCAAGTACCGTCTACCAGCCGTGATCAAGATCACGAAGGGCCAGTATGGTGGTCTGGGCGTGCCGACTCTACCAGCACCCAGTTTGCAGAGCACCGCGTTGCTGATATCGGCCGGCCGTCGGCGTAAAATCGTGGCGCAGGCGGTGAAGATCAAGGAGGGCCGCCGGGTGGTCGGTGTGGGGCCCAGACTGGCGATACCGGACTCATACGCGGGCTACTTCGAGATCCTAAGCGAGGAAGGCCGAGCGGTGCGCGGCATCGAGTCGGTGAACGAGTTATCGCGAAGATGTCCGGAGGAGGGTGCTCTGGTGCGCGAGACCGTGCGCGGCATCGCCTGTCGGGTGGACGACGAGTCAGGTATCGTGGTACCGGAGGGTACGAGGACCCTCGCGGCCGGCGAGACGATCGTTACTGCCGGTGAAGTGGCCTTACCCGGTCGCGGCCGGTTTTTGCGTTGCGTCGATTGTCACGGCGACAGCGTTTTGCTTGGAATGGATCAACGTGGACGTTTCAGCGCCCTGGCTCGCGAGGACAACATCAGCGGCGTGCACACCGCCAAGGCGCTCCTCAGTAAACGTCTGCCACTCACCGTGAGACTGGTACATGGCCAACCGCCGCGAGGACTCAAGTCGTCGTCACAATTTGTGCCCGAGTTGAGGCTGCTGTCGACTTTCGAGGAGGAGCACGTATTCGCTTTGCCGCTGCAGAGGGAAGGTGCGGCTGTTGCGCTGCCGCTCGCGGCGCCGCTCAAGCTGGTGAAGGCGCGAAACGAGGAGGCACTCAGGTCGATGCAGGAGTTCACGAGGTTGGTGGAACGCGCCTCCCGTCTGGTTGCCGATGTGGCTGATCGGGCGCATGTGTTGGACGGTCGTCTGGGCGAGAGCAAGCCCTCCAGGCAGACGAGGAGTAGCTCAGGCTTCCTCAGAAGACCATCGACAAACTCGGATCACACACCATTGAGCCATCATAGAAACAGCAGCGCTAGCCACCATCATCATCATCATCACTATCACAGCAACGGGCATCAGCCGTCCTCCGGACATTCTGGATACCGAGATGAGAACAGAGTACCACCGTCATCAGCTTGTACGGAAGAGTACGACGAAATCGATCAGATATATGATTACGTGCGCGGCTTTGCGCCGTTGCCGAAGAGCGTCAGGTCGCCTTACGAGAGTCCTCTCGCCGCGGGCCAGGGAGGTTTGACTCCACCGTTGACGCCGGTAACGGTGACGATCACGCCTTTATTGGACGATCGACCGGAACCACCACCGATTGAGACGATACCGACGAAGAAGATTCAAGCGGAGAAGCGAACTAGACGTGCGGTCAAGGAAGCGCCGCAGCCGCGGGTGGAGAAGCCACCATTGGCGAAGCTCTATGTGAAGAACAGCGGCACTCAGCGCGGGCGACCGCTAATGAGGCAGAAGAGCGCATCGCCCTTGAAAGAAACGCCGCCGGGTTACAAGGGTGGTTCGCCGCTCTTCAACATACGTTACAAGAGTCTGACGAATCTTCAACAGGCCATGGAGCTCGATGGCACGCTGGACTCCAGTCACTCGGGCGGAAGAACATCGGGAGATTCCGGCGCGGGTGCCAAGCTGCCAGAGAAAAGGTATGCTTTTACTTCTAAGAAAATATAAAAACATATATATATATATATAATATATATA